CTCTTCGTGGCCGGTGTGGTGGGGGGGGGGGGGAGCCACTGGCAGCCTTCGCTTACCATCGTAGTAACGAGGGGCCAATCGTCGCCCGGGAAGAGGGAAGGGGCGGGCCAGAGGGAGGGCCAGAAGGCATGGGGTGGAGCCAATTGCAGCCAACTTGGACCCTCGTGGCATTGAGGGGCAATTGCCCCTCGGCAATTGCCGCTCGAGAAAAGGGAAGGGGCGTGGTCTGGGGTGGCCAGCCGGCTCTCTAACCTGGGTCACAGGTCTCTGCCTCATGGAATCCCCGTGGCACCAAAAAGCCACACTGGAACTGGCTCCTCAAGAGGAAGGGCGCAGGCGGCGTGTCCGGGCCACTCTAGAGAGGGTTTCGCCCCTGCTAGCCCTGCTCCTTCCATGGCTTCTCGGGTCCCTCCCCAGTCCCTGCCAGCTCTTTCTTACTCACCTAGGCTCTTCTGAGCCTTCGGTGTTCGCGGTCCGCAGAGATGTGTCCGTCTGGATCTTTTCTCTTGTGTAAGCATCTCCTCCGTTCTCAAGGAGGGAGCTCTGACCACTAAGCAGGTGCGCGTCCACCTTGATGTCGGCCAGGGCTCGACATCGCCCTCGACCCCGACGTGAGGGCCTTCTACTATCAGGCGTCCCTTCCGGAGCTCAGCTCTGCTCCCATTGCCATTTAAGTATGCAGGGCACCCCTGCAGTCACATATGCCCACGCAGTTACGCAAGCACACACATACACATGCACACAGATACTCGCTCCCATTCGCACATGGGCCCCTCCTCCTCGCTTCCCTCTAGTCATCTGATGCAACCCACCTGTCCAAGTCCCCTCTTGATTTCCTTCCCATTTTCTCTGTCATCACCCTAGATTTAGACCTTCATACACCTCCGCTCACACTGGCAACAGCTCTAAATTGCCCTGCCTTGTCTCTGGCCCTCTTATCCTCTTCACACTTTTCCTCTACCCTGAAGCCCACATAGGAGCCTCATTCCCTGGCACTGTCTCTATTTCCCAGGTTAACCATCTTTTCAGGTTCAGGGCCCCCAGCCCATTCCTGTACTGGCTACATGCTGTAGACAAATCAAGCTGCAGATGCTTTCCCCAGACACGTCCCCACACCTCTGGACTCCAGCCTTTGTCTGTGCACTTTCCCAGAAAGCCTGCCTTTCCTCCTCCCTGTCTATCAGAAATCACAGCCATTCTTCAAAGACTGGCTAAGGAGATACTTCCTAAAAATCTCCAAATCTATAATAAGGCATCCTTGGGAAGGAGAGGGAAATGGAGTTTGGAGAAAGAGGAAAAGATCTACCTATCTACTTACATATTTAGGCAGACAAAATATAAAATTATGATGATATAGAAATTTTAGTTCTGTGGCCAGTTTTTAAATATTTAATTGACAAGATTTTGTGTATTTGAGGTGTACAATGTGATGGTATGATGTATATGCATACACACTGTGTACTGATCACCACAAACATCCATTGCCAGCCACAGTTACCACTTGTGGGGGGTGGGGGCAGGGGAGGATGGGCAGATAAGGACATAAAGTCTGCTCTCTTAGCAAACTAACTAAAAAAACAGTCTTATTAACTATAGTCACCATGCTGTACGATAAGAACCCAGAACTTAGTCTTTATTATTGAAAGTCTGTGCCCTTCGACCAACATTTGCCCCGTACTCCAGCCCCCTGCAACCACCATTCTACTCTCTGCTTATCCAAGTTTGACTTCTTTTTAAAAGATTCCACTTTGCTGTGGTTTAGTGTGGCAGCCACACTAAAATCCAGGTGTTGTCAATGTGATAGAATTAAGTGGGATCTTTAAAAGTTGAGCAGGTTATGAAGGCTCTTCCCTTATGAGTGGGATTTAGGCTCTTGCCAGCTCATGCTTCCACTCGTCTGCCGTGTGAGGACATGCGTTTGTCCTTCTGCTTTCCACTGTGTAAGTGCACAGGAAGAAGGCTCTCACCAGATGCCTGGGCCTTGCTCTTGGACTTCCCGTCCTCCAAATTTCTGTCCTTTATAAATTACCTAGTCTGTGGCATTTTCTGATAGCAACACAAATGGACTAAGATGTGCGTATTATATAATGTGTGTGTGTGTGTGTGTGTGTGTGTAGGTGTGATTTTTGACTTTCTATGTCTAGCTCATTTAACTTAATATTTGACTTTCTATGTCTAGCTCATTTAACTTAGCTTAATGTCCTCCAAATTCATGTATGCTGTAACAAATGACAAGATTTTCTTTCTTCTCTCTCTCTCTCTGTATATATGTGTATACACACACACGTACATATACATATTATATATGTATTAATCTATTCGTCCATTAATGGACACTTAGATTGTTCCATATCTTGGTTATTGTGGATAGTGCTCCAATGGTCATGGGAGTAGAGAGCTTTCTCTCTCTCTCTCTCTCTTTTTTTTTTTTTTTTTGGAGAGGTTTTTGCTATAGGGTGCGTGCTCTTGCCAGAGAGACAGAGAAACAGAAAGCGAGAAATCACCCTCCCCCCGGGGGGGATGGCCACGACGCAATCCCTTCTCCTCCATTTTCCTCTCAGGATCTTAGGCATGCATGCACATGCGCCCAGCATGAGTATAAGCCACCAGGACTGGGACTCGAACCATGGTCGACTACATGGGAGTCCAGCGACATAGCCATTACGCTAACTGCTGGTCCTAACAGCTGTCTCTTCAACATAACTATTTTATGTCCTTTGGATATAGACCTAGAAATAGGATTTCAAATCATATGGTAGTTGTAGTTTTAATTTTTAGAGAAAGATTCATATTATTTTCTATGGAACATTTGCTTTGTTAATATATATTAACAATGTTTCTCTGTCTCTTGGGGTTTTTTTGGGTTTTTTGCTTTCTATGTTGTTTTTGTTTTTAAGTTTTGCCATAGAGTGTGTGTGCTTGCTGGAGAGAGACAGAAAGAAAGAGAGGGAAAGTGACAATCGCCCATCAGGAGGGATGGCCATGTTGCAATTCCTTCTCACTGTCTCCTCTGGGGATTTTGGACATACTCGCAATTGTTTTTCCTCATCTCCTCTCAGGATTTTGGGTATGCACACACACACATGTCCTGCATGATTTTTAAGTCACTGGCCCTGAGATTTGAACGCAGCAGTTGGCCATGTGAGACCCAGTGTCTTAACCTCCATGCCACCTGCTGGGCCTCTCTTTAGTTTTTTACTTCCAATGACACCTTCCTGGAGTTTTCCTTGATCTTTCAAGCTGACTGTGCTCACTGTCTCTCTAACCCTCTCTCTCTAGAGATGATACTTTAAACCATCTTTATCACATGCACTGAATTCTATCTCATGTAGTAGTCATCCATGTGGTTATCTGATTTCAGATACTCAGGAGTTTCCCACCTTCATTGCTACCTCTTCCATGGAACCCAGAAAAATGTACTGCAAATAGCAGGTGTTTGACCAAGCCAGCAAAGCCCAGCTGAGTGGGGCTTTTAGATCCTTGGTGAGATGAGAATATGCTCAGGGGCTTTTCTTCCTTTATCAGTTTTGCTTATAAGAATCTCTACTTTTGTATATGGAAATCAATGAAGACCACCCAAATGAGGACAAGCACAGGCTATTTGATCGAGCAAAGGAGACAGTCACCATCACTTACATTTTAGGAGAGACTCAGAGGCAGGCAGAGGAAAGAGAGAACTTTATAGTGGGAAATGGGAAGGTTTAAGGGGGTCCCTGATTGGAGACTATTGGCATGGGAATGCTGTCGGCAGGCTTCGGCTTCTTAGAAGTGGATATCTTTTGGGATTGATTAGGGAGGGTATATGTGATTATCTCTGGCTAATCCTACATTGGAAATGGTACAAAAATTAGGAAAACTGGCAGTTATTAATCAAGTCATTTAATGAATGGCCATTTGATTGTTATTAATATAAGAGTTAATGTTTGAATTCTTGGATTTTTGGTAGAGACAGCAGTCTGGGCTGGCTCGGTGGCACAGTGGTAACGTGCTGCTCAAGGGATGCTTGATCCACACGGAGGGTTGTGGTTTTAGTTCCCCTGTCCACCTGTACAGGCTGGGCCCATGATCCTGACTGGCTGGGAAAGATAAGAGGAAGGGAATCATAGCATGAGACCCTGTTGAGAGTGCCTGTCTTTCTCTGTCTCTGTCTCAATTTCATGGAAGAAATAAACTGGAAAGGAAAGGAAAGGAAAGGAAAGGAAAGGAAAGGAAAGGAAAGGAAAGGAAAGGAAAGGAAAGGAAAGGGGACAGGAAAGGAAAGGAAAGGAAAGGAAAGGGGACAGGAAAGGAAAGGAAAGGAAAGGAAAGGAAAGGAAAGGACAGGACAGGAAAGGAAAGGGGACAGGAAAGGAAAGGAAAGGAAGACAGTCTGACTTCTTATAATTCTGGCTTATACTGGATTGTCAGAAAAGTCATGATGCATTTTTGCATAGAAAAATACATGCTGTGACTTTTCCGATAACCCAATAGAGAGCAAGTGTCTTCTTGACCTGGATACTGTAGATAATGAGTTAGTTTCTTGACCAGGTTACTACAGGTTGTGCGTCAAGAGTTCTATTTTTGTTTGTTTGTTTGCTTGGTGTTTTTTGTTTGTTTGTTTAAGTTTTGCTATAGGGTACATGTGCTCTTTAGAGAGAGATAAGGAGAGAAAGAGGGAAATTGAGAGATCACCTCCCAGGGAAATGATCACACAATTCCTTCTCCAACTTTCTCCTCTCAGGATTTTGGGTATGCTCACACATGTGCCCAGCATGCTTTTCAAGCCATCAGATCCAGGACTTGAACTGTGAGTTGGTCAGGTGGGATCCAGCTGCCTTAACCACCATGCCACTGACTGGCCCAAGAGTTCTATTTTATGCATGGTCTGGACAGTCAGATACTCATGTGTTTTGGCAGATTATGCAAA